CGTGGCCCTGTGAAGTGGGCGTAAGAAGGAGGAATAGAGGCTGGATCTGCCACAATATTCTGCAGCACAGACCTGGTCTTCTAGGGCCGAGGAAAGGTAAGTTACCCCCAGGAAAGAGCTGCCAAGATACCTTAGTATGTCTAACTGGAGACATTTACAGGAGAGACAATGACATGTGTAAGCAGCTATCTTAGAGGTCTTGGAGTGATCTCCATGAATCTCCCTAATGGATATGCTAAAATGCCATCACACTTTTTTACAGTAGTAAGGACACAGAGCATCAACAAACTGCTTCCAAAGAAAGTAGTTATTTGAAAGCATGGTGGTAGAAGGTCCCAGGGTTTACCTGACTCTAATTCTGAGGAGCATGGGGCTGGGGGTGTTCCTCTGAAGTGAGGTTCTTCCCCGGGGGCACATTAGAGTTGCTTGGAGGAGTGTACCTCCCTCCTCCAACCTCCTGGTCCACAGCCTGGCCACAGCACCTGGATTTTGACACGTCACGAGTCTGATGCAGGCCGCTGGCTAGGAGTGGCTCTGAGAGGCCCCCTGCACAAGCAGGCCCCACTCCTGCCTTCTGCCTTCTGCCTCCAGTGAAGGGCAGCAGGGACCAGGAGCAGGAAGGAGCCCAGACTGCACACCATGGCAGAGGACAGGCTTTCACTGTTCTCCATGATTTGTATAAAATAGGTTGTGTTTGTTGTAGACAATTTGCAAGGGATGTAAAAAATATACAAGCATCATCTTCAAATCTCTTACACCCCTCACTCCTCTGAAATAATCGTCAACACCTTGACATTTTTTCCTTCTGTGCACATCTGCACCTAGTGCACACACAAGTTGCTATTTTACCGGTAGTGCATATACAATTTTAAATTCTTTTCACTAAAAATAGCATAAGCAGGTGAACTATGAAAAAGGTCCTATTACATGTTGTCAAAAACAGCCTTTTTCATTTCCTCTTTTGTGAGCTGTCAGCTCACATCACCTGCCCATTTACCTTCTGGCTAAACCAAACATACACTCTGGACCAGCTAATGATGAGCTTACTTCCCTTCTGACTGCTATTTATTTTTAGGAAATGAGAAAAATTCCATTCCAAGGAAACAAGGCTTTGGTTTCCCAAGCTCTTTCCATTAAAATAGAACTGGACAGTCTTCTCATAT